AAAAAAAGCACAGACCTCATATAACTCATATGGAAATGAGACTATTTTTCACTTAAACTATGTTAGTAATTCTAGAACGTGGCTATAGTTATGAAGATATTGTTATCGAAGATGCTTGTGAAGATGGTGAATACACTTATTTCTGTGAGATGTCAGTGGAAAAAGCAGTATTTTAAAATTAATTCGTTGGGTATAGTAAGGGATTCTAATATGTCTAGCCACATTAATAAGTTAATGTTGCAGAGAGAGAGATTGTGTACTAGTTCATCTGCATCCCAGAAGTTATACATTTTTTCGGACCTTCTCATTGGGAAAATAGCCCATCAACTTATATTCAGCAACTTTATATGTAGGTATATTTGGGAGGTTACAGGGTTTGCTAGCCAAGTCCTCGGGGCCTGGGATCCAGTGTATCGGATGAAATTTCTAGCAGGGGAGGTATCTCCAGGAATAAGGATGGAATGCTAGCCTGAGAGGGGTGAGGTGGTCAGGGGCAAGTTTCACCTTGTATTAATTTTGTTTGGTCTTAAATCTGAGAAATCTGAGAGGACTAGCTGGAAATTTGATGGTGATTTTGTTGTGATGATTTGGCCTTTTTTTTTTTTTTTTTAGTGTTGTTTAGGGCTATTTCAGGAGAACTTGGCAGGTCTTGGAGAATATGTTGTAGCCCATTTCCCTTTCTTTTAGCTGTTCTAAAACATATCTTTAAGCTGTGAGACCCTCATTTAAATGAATCTCACATGGAACACCAATGTACCGTTGAAATCTTAGCCAAGCTTCACATTGTGTCTCTAATGGGAACTGTCTGAAGCCCTTTTGTCTTATTCACTCTTGTTTCTAGGCCTCTGCAGACAGAGACAGCAAACCAAGCTGCTGTTTGAAATACTGGAAATTACACTCTGGTTTTTATAGTGTTGGTGAAATTAAGAGCTTGTCGTGTGATGGGAACAAAAAACACCAGTGAGTTCATTGATGTTCAGTTACATCTGCCGTGATTAAGAAGGGATATAACATATGAATCATAAGCCAGGTTGTTTCATGATTTCGACAGACAGAAAGGTTTACATTTCAGATGCAACCTAACAGTGGTTTAATGGAAGAGTTCCTGCTTCCTTGGTACAAAGACAGGACACAAGAAATCTCGAGCTTTTGTAAGACCCAAGGTCAAGTCTTACCCAAGAGTTTGTCTCAACCTGATTAACAGACAAGGATGGCCATCCTTTAACCTCTGGGTTATAAACATCATCGTAAACATTCTGCGTGGTCCTTCTCTCAGCAGCAAAGGGAAATTAAGACCTAGTGCTCTGTGCTAGCTCTTCGTAACCTTTATTCAAAGCCCCTTCTCTACTGAAAAGGAACTTACAAAACCAGAAATCAAATCCTAGTTTTCTAGCAGCCATTCACTGTGTGATCTTGGGCAAACCCCATAGCTTTTCCACGCTTCCATTTTCTTGCCTGTAGAATAGAAAATGAATCTTCCTCTCTGAAAATTAGTACTAATAGCAAGTGTTTGTTGGACCCTTACTTTACGCCAGGCCCTTTAAATGGGTTCTGGCGTTTCATCATCATGACACCCCCATGAAGAAAGTACTACCGTTGTTTCCATTTTACCCTTAGGGTAACTGAGGCACAGGCGTTAACGTTCCTTGCCCAGGGTTGCACGGGTTGCACTGGTCTTTGAATGCAAGTGGCTTGAATCCAGCACCCAGGCCCTGCCCTGCCCTGCCTTGCCTCCTGAGATGGCCACAGTGGGGGTGAATGAGATGGGCCAGGAAGCAAGGTGATAAGGATGGGGTTGGTGTGGTGGATGAAAGTTTCCCTCCTTCTCAGGGTGACTTGTGCTAGCTAGTTGGGTGTCTCATCTCTTTATACATTTGTTGGGGAGAGTGACTGTCTTATTCCTCTTTTTTTTTTTCCTGTGCAGTGAAAGAAGAGAATGGTATGGAGGCTGCCTACTTCCGTCCATTCTATGTGTCACAAAGCGATACAATTTTTTTAAAGCTTTATTTGTTTATTTTAGAGAGAGAGAGAGAGAGAGAGCATGAGCAGGGGGAGGAGCAGAGGGAGAGAGAGATTCCTGGAGCAGACTCCCTGCTGAACGTGGAGACTGACATGAAGCTTGATCCCAGGACCCTGAGATCATGACCTGAGCCAAAACCAAGAGCCGGCCACTTAACCAATGGCACCACCCAGGTGCACCAAACCCATACAATTTTTGTATCTGTTTAATTCTCACCGTGTCCTTCAAGCCACAGCAGCCCATGGAGAATCCTCAATTACACACTTAGACTTACCCGTACCTGTCATGTGATAAACGTGGTAAACAGTGGCTGAATGAAGAAGTTGGGGACTCCTCTGCTATTGTCATTACCCCTTATGTTTGCAGTTTAGGCTGGTCATTGTATTGGGATGGTATGTGCTGGGAGAGAAGGGGACCGTTCCTTTTCTTTGTCTTTCCCATGACATTGAGGCTACTCGAGGGAGTACTAGAGGACCAAGGTGGGCAGGTGTGTGGAGACCAGCCTTGGCCCCATTGCTGGAGGATTTCCTGGTGTGCCTGAGGTCCCCCCCAGTACCAGACCTCCACCTTGTGTCCTGTCACTGGGTGAGATCATGGTGCTTCAGAGAGTTTGGGAGTCTTGGTAATTAAGCCTGCAAAACTGAGAGAACGAAGGTGGACTATGGCCCACTCACATCGATGTTGTTTGCAAAGTATTAACTTTTATTTTCTTTAACTTCGGTAAAGTGCGCTTTAAAAAATTATTTTCTTGGGGTGCCTGGGTGGCTCAGTAGGTTAAGCCTCTGCCTTGGGCTCAGTTCATGATCTCAGGGTCCTGAAATCAAGCCCTGCATCGGGCTTTCTGCACAGCGGGGAGCCTGCTTCCCTCTCTCTCTCTCTCTGCCTCTCTGCCTACCTGTGATCTTTGTCAAGTAAATAAATAAAATCTTTTAAAAAAATTATTTTCTTAAAAAATTATTTATTTTCGGGATGCCTGGGTGGTTCAGTCAGTTAAGCGGCTGCCTTCGGCTCAGGTCATGATCCTGGGATCGAGTCCCACATTGGGCTCCTTGCTCCGCAGGGAGCTACTTCTCCCTCTGCCTCTACCTGCCACCCTGCCTGCCTCTGCTCTATCTGACAAATAAATAAAAATCTTAAAAAAAATTATTTTCTTCATTATTCTGTAGCTTGGAAATATTACACACTTTTTATAGTGGTAAAATATGCACAATGTGAAATTGTGTAACGATTTTTAAGTGTCTAATTCAGTGACATCACAGTCAGAACGCTGTGCAACCATCACCACCACCCGTTTCCAGAACTTTCTGTCATCCCAGACAGAAATTCAGTACCCATGAAACAACAATGCCCCATTCCTCCACCAATCCAGCCTCTAATCTACTTTTTGTCTGTGTGAATTTGCCTACTCTAGGTACCTTGGGTAAGTGGAATCCTACACCATTTGTTCTTTTGTGACTGGCTTGTTTCCCTCAGCATAACGTTTTCAAGTTTCATTGATGTTGAAGCGCCGATCATAGCATCATTCCTTTTTAAGACTGAATAATATTCCATTATGTGCCTAGGCCGTATTTTGTTAGTCTACCCATTCATCTGCTGGTGGACACATGGGTCGTTTCCCCCTTTGGACTTGTGAATAATACATCAGCGTTTTTAAGAAAGAAGCAAATTTATGGCAATGAAACATAAATATATTGCATTTTGTTACAGAGTTCTATTTTTTTTTAAGATTTTATTTATTTGAGAGAGAGAGAGAGAAAGAGCATGAGCATGAGCAGAGGGGAGAAGACAGAGGGAAAAGCAGACTCCCTGCTGAACTGAGAGCCCGATGCGGGTCTCAATCCCTGGACCCTGGGATCATGACCTGAGCCGAAGGCAGACGCTTAACTGACTGAGCCACCCAGGTGCCCCAGAGTTCTAGATAATAACACATAGAACATAAAGACTATAATAAGCAGCAAAAGTGTAAACAAACCACAAAACGAAAACCACACTTTAAGTTCAGAGGACGAGTGCCGTTGCTTTAATGAATGGTGTTAAGCATTTCACTGAAGGACCAGCGTGAGCCAGGCAGACACCCCGAGAGTTTCCAGCCATCCTAGGAGTGTCCTCTCTAAGCACTTGGGCAGGTAGCTTTGCTCGTAGGCGGAGGTGGTTGGTGTCTCATAAGAGGTACAGGCAGGGTTTCTGGACCTTCTGAGGCAGGGACAGAATTCCCCTGGGGGAGCTCTAAGGATGGGGCCGATCTTGGCTCAGCAATGATGGGAGCTGTGGGGGGCAGAGGGAGGCGTTAACCAGGGTAAATTCCTAGCACTGCTCTTTCTTTGCTAAACCCAGCTTGCATGTTTCTATTTCTCAGGCCGTCCTGAGGGCTTCAGGCCCCTCTAGCTCACATTACTCACAGCTGTTAAGCAGTCTTAATCTTGCATTTAAACAGCCTTGTTACTTGGAGTTGCTGTGTCCCCTACAAGTGCCTCAGATTTGCTTGTCTGCTTCTTGTGTGTGTCTCAGGGCAACAAAGCTCCCATCAGCCTTCTGGAAGAGCTGCTTTTCTTTGGGTGATCTGGGGCAAGGCCTCTGTCCTCCTCTGCCCGCGAATGGACACAGACTCGGGATCACACGGCTGGCCCAGGGGCAGCCCACGATGCTGCCGTGAGCCAGCTGCTTCAGCTGTCCCCTAGCCTAAGAGAAGTCACTGCCCCCCTCTGGCCCTGATGTCCGACATGAGGGGACCTGGTGGCCTCCAAGGCTCTTCCAGCTCTGCAGTTTCATGATCGCCCCTACCAGGAATGAATGACCTCCCTCCAGCCCTCTCGGAATAAATGACTCAGCGGTCTCATAGACCTGCTGCTGTTTTTAAGGAAGCCTGATTATTTTGCCGTCACAAGCAAGTGTTTGTTCAGTGGTTAAACAATCTGATGGTCTTGATCCAGCTGGAGCTGGGCTGGGGCTGACTGGATTTCTTCACGCCGTCCTCTTGCAGGGAAGCAGCCCTGGCACCGGCTGGCCACACGCACCCCGGGCCATGTCAGAACTCTGAGCCGGCGACAGGGAGCAGCTGTCCACCACTGGCCATCCCAACCCAGCTTCGAGATGCTGAGCCTGAAGCTGCCCCAGCTGTTTAGCATCGACCAGGTGCCCCAGGTATGTGCCGAGTTCCCGGGGCGTGGCGAGGTCATGGTCTTTGCCTCCTGGGGTGGGGGACCTGTGCTGGCTTTGTCTACAGCCAGCGGGCCTCCTGTTTCCCCCACCTACACTGAACCTGGAAATGGGAGGGATCCCAAGACACCCCTTCCCCATGACTTCTCTATTTTATCCCAAACAAAGCCTTTATGGAGATTCCACATTCAAGCTGAAGACAAGTAGCCAGGGGCATCCGGCTGGGTAGAAGTTTCCTTTGGGGCCCTCCCTTGGGTTCCTGAAAGCAGGCAGGGGCCAAGTCGCCTCGGGTGTGTGGTTTTGCCCTTGTCCTTACCACTTGCAGGAGGCTCGGGCCCAGTGTGGCTTGGGGCGAATGGGAGGGTGGTCCCGTGGGCCTCAGCCCTGGCCCTATCGTGGACTCCTGGGCCTGGGAGCTCACATGCGGCCTCCCTGAGGCTCCTGGGATGCCTTGACAATCTGCATTTGTAATCGGCCTGAGGTGGGGCCACACGGCAGGGGAGCCAAGGCTCGTGGGCCCACCCCCCTTCCCTGGCGGAGAAGACATTTCATATACACCCTCGGTGCCGGTTCACATTCCCTTCCTTTTGGACTGAAGATGAACCAGTGTTAATGTCAGGGTGGGAAGTTTCAGCTTGAGGATGTCCCAGACTGAAGGGAGACCTTTCACGCTGCAGACTGCCAAGTACTTCCAACTTTCCTCAGAGGCCTAAGACCCGGGCACCCTCAGCCCCCGTGATGGAGACGAGGCGCGGGCAGACTGCCTGTGAGGCTGGGTGTCTGCAGCTGGGTGGCACTGGGGGGTGACAGAACGTGAGGCAGAGCTGTCTGGTGGGAAGAGACGAGGGACGTGGCAGGGGACAGACAAATTAAAAATGAGGCTGGCCTTGCAGGACACCTCCCGCGGGCTCCCAGGGCCGTGTCTCCTCCTAATGGGATTCTCTGCTGGGTTCTACCCACAGACCACGAATGGCTGCGATTAGTGGGAGCACGGGGTGAATTCTTGGATTCATCCATTCATGAAAGTTTTCTTGATAGCCTGCTGTGTGCAAGGTGTCATTCCATGCCAGACTCAGAATAATCCATACAAATACTGCCCCTAAGCAGTTTTAAAATGTGGATGTGTGCTTCTGTTTTAAAGTGGGTTAGGGTGTGTCCTCAAAGACCCAGAGGAGGGATCGACCACTTCCATCATGGGGGAGGAAGGGCCCAGGGATGGCCCCGTGACAGGAGAGATCTTGAAGATGGGTTGAGGGTGGGTAGCTTGTGGGATGTGGACCAAGGCAAGTAGGTGGAAGGACTGGTGTGGGCAAAGGCCTGGAGACAGGGAAGCACCGGGCAGGTGTGGGGCCTTTTGGGGGCGGGGTTATGGGTGCTGCTGAGATGTCTCTCTGGGTGTTTTGGGCAAGGTCACATTCAGAGCAGGTGCCCAGGAAAGAGGTGAAGGGGAAGTGAAGGTCTCAGTGAGTACTTTGTGGGCTTCTGAAGCATGGAGATCCTGAAGACGAGGACCAGAAAACCCAGAGTGCTAAAGAACATGTCTCTTCTGTCCAGTTTTCCATAGACAGTGGAGGTGACAGTATCCTTTTCCGTAAAATGGTGCTAGTCAGAGGCAGAGAATCAACATCGAACCTCACATCCACTATTTGCTTTGAAACCTTCCTTGGGTACTTACATCCATTCCCGGGCTTCGGGGCCCCATGCTCAAGGTTCATGGAGCAAACAGGGGCTCTGTCTCCCTGGAGGGTACTTTTACTTGAGGATTTGCTGGGGGAGGGGGACAGAAATGTTTGTTGCTAAAACAGGTGCAAGTATATTGAGGAGAAAAATGCATACATAATTTGCATGAATATTTAGAATAGACCTCCTACAAATGCTAAGCTTACTTTTGTGGGCTCTTTGGGTTCTGATACCCAGTCTGTGGAGTGACATTGGGCAAGATACTTAATCTTCTGACCTCAGTTTCTGCACCTGTAAAATGGGGTGATGGGACTGTCTGCTTCCTGGGGTTATGGTAATGAGATGGCCCATGTGAAGTGCCCGGCACCTGGGGACCATTCAGTAATGTTGGCTGCATTACCATCATCAAGTCTTCATACAGAGGCCCTGAGTAGCCTCTCGTTGGTATGTTAATGAGCTGTGTGGACTGGGCCACTTCCCCACCCTCTCTGAGCCTCAGTTTCCTGATCTGTGAAATGGAGATAATATCTGTTAATTTAGTCTCACAGGGCTGTTTTGAAGATCCAAGAAAAATGAGATAGAACAGCGGGACTATTATGAAAGAAAGGAAGCATAGCCAGATGGTGTGTTCTTGGGTAGGTGGGTTTGGGCACTGGGGAACCAGGAACTAACTCAACAGGCAAATGGTTTCTCCAGCCCGAGGTTTCTCAAAGGGGGTACTTGGATCACCACCATCAGAATCATCGGGAGCTTATTAAAATACAGTAAGAATGGGTCCCCTGGGTGGCTCAGTCGGTTAAACATGTGCCTTTGGCTCAGGTCATGATCTTGGGGTCCTGGGATGGAGCCCCGTGTTGGCCTCTCTGCTAAACAGGGAGTTGTCTGTCCCTCTCCCACTGCCCTAACCCCCAGCTCATACTCTTGCTCACATCTTCTCTCTCTCTCCAATAAATAAGATCTTAAAAAAAAAAAAAGTGATGAAGAATGATTGCAGGTATTTTTGTATTATTCTTGATTTTAATAAAAAGGAATGCTTTGAGCATTTCATCGTTTAAAATAATGTAGCTTCTGTGTATGTACGTATGTAAATAACCTTTATCAATTTAAGGATATTCCTTTCCACTCCTTGTTTTCTAGTATTTTTTCCCTTTAAGAATGAATTTTACAGAATCTTTTTTTCCCCCATCAGTCCATCTTTTGAGATGGTCGTATATGATTTATTTAAGATATTAGTGTGGTGAATTACACCAACTGATTTACTAATGTTAAGTCAACGTTGCATTTAAGTAGAACTTGGTCATGGTGTAATATCTTTTTAATCTACTGCTGGAATCAGTTGTTTAGGAACACTTTGTTTTTTTAAAGATTTTATTTACTTGTCAGAGAGACAGAGAGGGACAGAGAGAGAGTGTAAGTGGAGTGTGAGGCAGAGGGAGAAGCAGGCTCTGTGCTAAGCAAGGAGCCAGATGCGGGGCTCGATCCGAGGACCCTGGAATCATGACCTGAGCTGAAGGCAGATGCTTAACCGACTGAGCCACCCAGGCATCACCTGTTTAGAAACCTTAAGATTTTTTTTTTTTTTCTATTTTTAACTAGAGAGAGAGAGAGAGCATGCACACAAAGCAGGGGGAGGGGTAGAAGGAGAGGGAGAAGCAGGCTCCCCACTGAGCAGGGAGCTTGACTCGGGGCTGGATCCCAGGACCCGGAGATCATGACCTGAGCCAAAGTCAAATGCTTAACTGACTAAGCCACACAGGTGCTCCTGTTAAGGAGTCTTAAATCTTCTTTTTTTTTTTTTTTTAAGATTTTATTTATTTATTTGACAGACAGAGATCACAATTAGGCAGAGAGGCAGGCAGAGAGAGAGGAAGGGAAGCAGGCTCCCTACTAAGCAGAAAGCCCAATGTGGGGCTCGATTCCAGGACTCTGGGATCATGACCTGAGCCGAAGGCAGAGGCTTTAAACTGCTGAACCACCCAGGCACCCCAAGGAGCCTTAAACCTAATGAGTTGATGTGTAATGTTTCCTTCGGATACTGCCCTTGCTTGGATTTGGATTAGGATTTTGCCAGCCACAATGAGTTGGAGAGCTTTGCCTATTTATTCTATGGAAAACTGTATAATATTAGAATATGTTCTTGAGTGGGTGGTAGAATGTACCTGCATGATTGTCCCACAGGGCCACCCCATTGCCCCCCCCCCCAGGGGAACACCATTACCTGCTAATCTACATGAATGGCAGCCTGTTGTGTGGGGGACGGAACAACTCATCTTGCAGCTGAATTGTCTTTGTGAAAAGAATTTTTTTTACAGCAGCTTTGTTGAGATATAATTCACATAACATAAAATTCATCTTTTAAAAGTACACAGCTTGGGGGGTTTTAGTATGGTGACCTACACAAAGTCTGTTCCACAAACTCTTACCATGGTCAATTTTAGAACAGTTTCATTACCCTAGAAAGAAACTCTGTACCCATTAGCGGTTGTTTCCTACTTGCCATGGCAACCACTGATTTACTTTCTGTCTCTATGGATTTGCCTCTTCTCAGTATTTCATATAAACTGGATCGTGTAATAAGTGGCCTTTCGTGAATGCCTTCTTTCACCAAGCGTCAATGTTTTCAAGTTCATCCATGCTATACCCTGTATTAGTATTTCATTTGTTTTTGTGGCTGCCTAATATTCCATTGTATGGATGCATTGCTCTTTGTTTATTCATTCATTAGTTGATGGACCCTTGAGTTTCCATTTTTTGACTATTACAAATAATGGTGCTATGAACATTTAAGTATCTGTTTTTGTGTGAATGTGTTTTCAGTTCTCCTAAGTACATGCCTAGGAGTGGAATGTTAGATCATGTGGTAACTCTATGCTTAACTGTTTTATTTATTGTCATAAAATACATTTAACATAAAATTTACCATCTTACCGATGGTATTAAATATATTCACATTGTTGTGTAACAAGCACCACCATAAATCTCCATAATTCTTTTTTATCTTGTAAAACTGAAACTCTGTACCCATTAAACAATAACTCCCTATTTCCCCCTCCCCTCTGGCTTCTGAAAACCATCATTCTACTTTCTGTCTTTATAATTTTGACTATTCTAGTACCTTCTATAAATGGAATCATACTGTGTTTGTCATTTTGTGACTGGCTTATTGATTTCACTTAGCATAATTTCCTCAAGATTCATCCATGTTGTACATGTCAGAATTTCCTTCATTTTTGAGGCTGGATGGTATTTTTATATGTATCTACCAGATTTTGCTTATTCATATTCATTCCCTTATCAATAGATAC